AAGCCTTCACGGACCCACCTTCAGGTCCCCTATCCCTGCTTCCCTACACCAATTATCCAGTACCAAGTGCTTACTGCTTTCCAGATATGTCCTCTGCCTTCAAGCCTTTGTGCCTTGGTCCATATTATACTTTACTACTCTGAGCCAGGAAAATGTCTCTACATCTTTAAAGACCCAGAACTGAGTTAACACAGTAGTACCTTGGCTCATGAATGCTTTTGTTTGCAAACAGAAGTGTTTGGCCAAAAATAAGTTTTTTATTGGTACTGAGAATTGAATTCAGGACCTCGCACTTGCCAGGTAGACTAAGCTATATTTTTCCTTTCGGCAAGTTCTGTATCAGACTATATCAGATGACATCTTTCCCACACAAACATAAATGTGGCCATTTTTCAGAATTGTAGACCAAATGAAGTTTGTGAACTAAGGTATCACTATAGTATTGTTTAAGAACTCTCTCAAAAAAAGCTAGTTTCCCTCTCTTCTACCCCACACATTCTGTGCCTCTAATAAGAACATATCACATAGTATTGCACATATTTGTTTTACAGGTCTGCTTTCCCTAATGGCATGTGGCTTTTTTAAAAAAGAGAATAACGGGGGCTGGGGATTTAGCTCAGCGGCATAAGTGTCTGCCTTGCAAGCAGGCAATCGTGAGTTCGATCCCTGGTACCAATAAAAAGGAAAAAGACAAAAAAAAAAAAGAGAAAGAGAATAAAACAAAGCAGAGCAGAGTAAAACAATGCAAATAACACAGGATTTCAGAAAAAGACAATAGGAAATCAACAGTGGCTACCATAATGTCTCTTGTTTTCTTTGAAATAGTCTGGACTGTGGCTTTTTAAAAAAAATTTTTTTAATTTTTAAATTTTATTTAAAGAGAAAAAAAGCAAAACAGAAAAAAGGGTAGACATAATACAGAATTAAGAAAATAAACAGTAAGAAATCACTAGTTGATAAATTACATATTTTCCTCTTAGAAGTAGTTGTTCAAGCTACAAAATTAAAGCATACAAAGTAGACATTCAAATAGTGAGACTGCAAACAGTTCTGTTCAACGATCCAACAGAAACTTAGTAATATGGTTCTCAGTCCTACGCATTTAAACATACATGCAGTTATATCCTTTAGAGCACTTTCTTTTCCTCTCTTTTTTACATCAGCAATTACACATTTTGGGTTTTATTACTCCTACAATTCTTATTACTTTTTACAGTAGAGACACGATGTGATATTTATAAATATGATTATTTATTTCACTTATGAGGATAGTCTCAAGTTGTCACCATTTACTTATGAAGGCCTAAGATCATCCTTTTTATAGTTGAGTAATATTCCATTGTATAAAAATACCACAACTTTTTCATCCACTCTGCAGTTGATGGGCATTTTAGTTGTTTCCAAGATTTAGCTAATACAAACTGTGCTGCTACGACCATGGGTGCACATATGTCACTGTGAGATGACCCTTTTAGTTTTTCAGGAAAAATACCCAGGAGGGGAATAACTGGATTGAATGGAACTTCCAATCCTAGTCTTCTGAGAAATCTCCACACTGAAAAAATTAAAATTTTTATTAGCACATGTTTGTAGTACGTAATGACTATCTTCATCACGGGAAGTTACTACATATATATAGCACATTTTAATGGACTATGTCTTACACCAGAGCTTAGAACAATCCTTGAAACATGGAAAGAGTAAAAAAGAACAAATGGGAGAGCCAGGCATGGTGGTACAGACTTGTAATTCCAGCACTCAGAAGGTTGAGGCAGGAGAACTGCCTTGAGTTTGAGGTCATCCTGGGCTACATAGTGAGGTCAAGGACAGCCTGAACTACAAAATGAGACCCTGTCTCAAAAAAAAAAAAACAAAATGAACAGATAGAAGGGGGATGAATGGAACTGGTCTTCAGTTCTAATAACTGTACTGTTTGTTGAATAAAAGCCCTTGCCTTAAGCCCCTCTTCTGGTGCCCACCCTCAACTTCTGCCTTGGTGCCTTCTCTGGCACCTCAATCTCCAAAGGAATAGAGTTCAGTCCTACTCTTGCCAGACCTTTTGACACCTGGCTTCCTTCTCTGGGAGCTCAGGATTCATGGAAGGATCTCTGTCACTGGCTGCCAGCACTTGGGTGGCCAACCACCTGCTGATCTGGGCTTCCTCCTTGTTTATGCTGTAGCCTGGCTACCCAGATGCTTGGTCTACCTGTCTGTCTAGCCAGCTAGTGCTCTGTCACTACCTTGGGGATCTTTTGCCTTAACCTGGCTCATCTATTTACTTGTAAAGTCCTGACACTCCTGATTCTAATTTTCCCTGCTACCAATGAGTCCTATTTCTTGAATTTTCCAATAGAAGACTGGACAAAGCATTCTAATTCAATTCATGGGCTCTAGACTCTAGCTGCCAAGATTTAAAGCCCAACTCTTTCACTCATAGCCACCTGTGTGATCTTGGGCTCTTCACTTTTGGGGGTGGGTATTGGGGATCGAACTCACAACCACGTACTTGCAAGGCAGGCACTTACACCACTGAGCTAAATCCCCGGCCCCTTAGGCACATCCTTTTATCTCTTGGAACCACAGTTGGCCCATCTGCAAAACTGACATGACAATAACACCTACACTGTAAAGTTACTTTGAGATTGACTTTTTGTTGTCGTACTGGAGATGGAAACTCAGGGCTTCATGTGTACTAGGCAAGTACTTTACCACTGAGCCACACCCTCGGTCCCACTGTGAGATTTAAACTAGATGTTCCTTGAAGTGCAGATGGGTTACATCCTGATAAATTTACATAAACAGGAACCACTAGGCAGGGCATGGTGGCACACACCTGTAATACCAGCACTTGGGAGGCTGAGGCAGGAGGATCACTGAGAGTTGGAGGCCAGCATGGGTTACATATTGAGACTCTATCTGGAAATAAATATTTAATACACCTAACCTACCTTATTATTTTTTTATCTTTTTGAGACAGCATCGCACTATGCAGTTCAGGCTGGCCTTGAGCTCACTTTGTAGGCCAGGGTAGTCTCAAACTCACAATGATCCCCCTGCCTCAGTCTCCTGAGTGCAACATCATTGATTATTACACTGAGGGTCTTGGCTGTTTCCCCTGGTGACCATGTGGCTGACTGACTGGGAGCATCAGCATCCTGAGACAGTACTGCACCACAAGAAGTCACAAAGGAAAAAGTCAAACTTCAAAGTATAGTTTCTACTGAGTGTATATTGTTTTTACACTATTGGATTGTCACCCAGTGTGTGGTACATACCTGTAATCCCAGCATTTAGGAAGGAGGATTGATGTCTGAGGCCAGCCTTGGCTAAATAGTGAGTTCAAGGCCAGCCTAAACTACAAAGCAAAACCCTGTCTGAAAAAGAAAGAAAGAGGGGCTTTGGCTCAGTGGCGTAAGCACCTGCCTGGTAAGTGTGAGGACCTGAGTTCGATCCCTGATACAAAAAAAAAAAAAAAGGAAAGAAAAAGATGACATACTATTGGATTGTCAAACATCCGTACATTGAACCATTGTGGACCGAGGACTGTCTGTAATGTGCTTACATAGTAAATATCCAATAACTATTTGCTATCATTATCATTTTTACATTTCCAGTATCTGGGATAGAATTGGTGTTTAACACATATGTGTTATGAGAGAAAGAGAAAGAGTAACAATCTCTGGTTATTCAGCTTACTAATCAAAGTGGACTCTACCTGTGAATCCCACTCCTGCCTTGGGAAGCAAGTAACTTATAGCCATTGGCCATTCGGTTCTATCACTAACATATTTCTCAAATCCTACCTCCTCCAGGAATCCTTTTGCAGCTGGGAGCCAAAGGCTTTGCTGGTCCCAATCTGCCTAGAGATCTTAAAGTCTCACAATTTCCCCCTCCCAATTTGTGACACAGCTCATGCGTTTACTCTGGTTACTTAGCCCTCAACTGCATTGACCCCTGGATGTGTGACTAGTGCGAAATTTTTGGATGGCATATTTTACATACTACCCCCCCACACACACACACATGTGTGCTTTCTGCATTTTTGGTATCACTCAACCGTTTTCTCTGATTGTCAGGACAAAGGCTATGGGTAAACTAATGGAGATATGGACAGCAAAATGCTACAGAAACGTTTTGTGTTTAAGATGAAGGCACAAAGCTGGAATAGAAGCTGGAAAGGTTTTGTATCTCCACTTACTCTTCACCTCAGGAGGGGTAGAACAGCATGCAGCCTCTTGCAGGTTCCTTGGCTACATTCCTCCGAGAGGCCAGAGGGGCAAGCCTAGACAATGCAAATGAGCTGTGGATGGGACTTAGCCAAGTGTCCTCCAAAGAGGCTCCAAGGGAGCTAGCTGGCTTGAGGGAATGGGAAAGGGGAGATGCCTACGGTTTCAGCACTTTGTTTGTTTCCTCAAGCCACAAATTACTCTCCTCTTCTGAAGACACAATCAACACCAAAGTGCAAATGCTCCTTCATAAATTAATACAGCATACAGCATTGAGAGCAGTTTGCCCTGCATATCTAGCCTTTGATATGATACACAGACTCGAGGGAGTGGTATTTTATTGTGTACTGCCTATGCAAAGTCTTTTTTTTTTCTTTTTCTTTTTCCTTTTTTCCGGTCCCGGGGATCGAACTCACGACCACCTGCTTGGAAGGCAGGTGCTTATGCCGCTGAGCTAAATCCCCAGCCCCTGCAAAATCTTATATAAGGCAATATTAAACTAAGGTCAAACCAGAAGTTTTCACTGTCATGCTTTGGTTGTGTAATAAGAGACAGCAGAGAAGTCATGATTGTGAGAACACAAAAGAGCAATAAACTGCAAGAGGCAGCCAAAAGCGGACAAATTTAGCCAATTCTTTGCCAACTTCCTATTCTAAATCTTCCGGCTTCAACTGACCTAATACAGGAAAGCGTGCTGTGAGCATGCAGGAGCAGGGCTTGGCTAGGGCCCCACGGCCAGGCGGAATCCCATTCGTTCGTTCACCTACTGGAGAGGTCTTGCACAGGCCAGCTTCGTTTGCGACCTCGCAGCCTTGACCCGAGCTCTCGCAGAGGCCGCCGGCATTTGTAGCCGAGCTGCTGCAGTCTGGCGGGCGCTGGAGGCAGAGGTGGGGGCCCCCACAGCCCCACTTTCCTCTCCTGCAGCGGCGCGAGGAAGAGGAAGCTCCACGAAGGCGAGGGGGTAAGCTCCTTAAAAGGAAGAGCCTCCTCTTTCCTGTGCGGAAATTGTATTCTTCCTTTTGTTTGTTTAAAGTACAATGTAAATTCGGGTTTCACACGCACACAAAAACCATTCCCCTAACGGGGAGTCGAGGGACAACTGAGAGTGAAAGTAGGAAGGACAGGCGGGGCCCACGCAAGCCACCCTACGAAAAATTTCAGGGATGAGTCATCAAAAAGCAACCCGAAAGGAACGGAACTGGGAAGCCAAGTAGGAAAGAGAGGAGCGCTCATTAGATGCAGGTCCTGTCAATCACGTATATTCCGCAAATGACCTGCGAGCCTCCCGGGCCTCTTAGACCGGAAAAGGGGTCTTGGGAGGCGGTCCAAAAACCTTTGAAATCGGAAAAGACGGAGTGAGCCAGCAGAGTAATCTAATGCACTTCATGCTGGCCTGCTGGGAAGATGGCGTTTGCCATCAAGGTCACATGGCTACTTTAGGGATTAAAATGAAATACTAGAAAGAGTAAATGGCCACGGCAGGATCAGGTCTTCAGAAGCTGGCTTGATTCCAAATAGAGTCTGCCAAAAAGAAAAAAAAGTACACACTTTAGGAAAAGAAAAATAGTATGTTTTTTTTTTTCTTTTCAACAGATGGCGTTACCCTTGTATTGGATACCATGGAGGATGTCATATATCGCAGAGAGCGCATTACACTTCAGCCCTTAAAGAAGAAATTGAAAATCTATGTGTGGCTATCTCAATGACCAAGGTTACCCTAACAGCAGATTGCCTTACTAATAAATGTCTGGAAGCTAATTGCCACCACTTTGAGCAGCTCTTGTAATTGTAGAAGCCAAAGGTACTTCACATTAATCTCATGTCTCAATAAATTTAGTATAAAAATAGGTAAATAAAATTTTCTGTGTCCTCCTCCTCCTCTTCCTCCTCCTCCTCCTTCTTTCTTTTCTTCTTCTTCTCCTCCTCCTTCTTCTCCTCCCCTTCTTCCTCCTTCTCCTTCTCCTCCTTCTTCTTGTCTTTTTGAGACAGGGTTTCACTATGTAGTTCAGGCTGCCCTTGAACTTATTGTAACCCAGGCTTGGCTTTGAACTTGCAGCAATCCTGCCTCAGCTTCCAGAGTATTGGAATTACAGAGGTGCACCACCACACCAGGCCTATACAAAGTTTTCTTTTCCTGAAGTGTGTACACCTTTTTTTTGGTGGACTGTATTTTTCCAGTTACAATGTTAAAACGTATTTGTATTTGTCAGAACCTGTGTCCTAAATATGTCATGACTGTGTGATGGGATGGATTTTCTCTGGAGCTCTTCTTCCTTAGGAAGCTTGAAGAAGTAAAGTCAGGTACCTGTAGAACCAGGAGGCAGTGTGTGGCACAGTGAAAGGCATGCACTAGGGCCTCAGCACTGGAGAACCATGAGGGAAGTTGATTTTTCTAGGCACTGCAAATCTCAAAAGGTCTATACCTGGCTTGGTTCTAGGAATGCCTGTAATCCCAGCACTTGGGAGGCTGAGGCAGGAGGATCGCTGTGAGTTCAAGACCAGCCTAGGGTACAAAGTGAGCTCAAGACCAAGCTGAACCACATAGAGAGACCCTGTCTCAAAAAGACAAAAAGGGGGGGAGGGCTGTTAGATGCCAGTTAACATTGAATCATGTTTTTCAAGACTGAACTTTAGTTGACTTTAAGAAAGGCAAGCTTCATAAACCCATTTTTTCAAGTTATTTTGTTGCTATCCTACCCATTGTTTTTCTTACAAATGTTACTTTTGAAAATTTTTGACCTCCTGTTAACTAAAGGATACACAGGAATTTGTTCACTACTAGGCCAGTATAGTTAGGAGGGTTCTACTTTTGCACTCCTTTATTTGGGGACCTGGGAAGAGTAGGAGTATATAAAAGTAATAATACAAGAATTGAAGCAATCTAATCTAGCTGATGATTGCTTTCTTTTATTCTCCTGTCATTTTCAGGCCCCGCTGCGACCTGAACTCCAACCTGAGAGCCAGAGCTGTCCTGGGATTCACACACATGCCAATGAGCTAAATAGTCTATGTCTGGGAGAGTGGGGCATAATAATTCAGACTTAATGGTACCTAGGAGTACAGTGTGCCAGAGAGATTCAGCTTTACAAGCCATCCCCTCAATCCGCCCTTTACTAATATCCTTTTAGGAGGTATCTTCAAGCCATTCCAGTTCTTGTTTTCTTTTATTTTTTTTTTTGAGACGGTCTCAATGTATTGCCCAGGCTGATTTTGAACTCAGAATGTACCTATTATACAGCCTCCTGAGATCACAAGTGTGTACCACCATGCCTGGTTTCAGATTTTTTTTTGAGACAGGGTCTCACTATGTAGCTCAGGCTGGCCTTGAACTCACTGCAGTTGTCTTGCCTCAGCATCCTGAACATTGGGATTACAGACATGGGCCACCATGCCTGGCCCTACTTCCTACTATCTTTTATTTTGCTCTTTACTTATAATTTGGGTTTCTTGTATAAGAGAAACCATGTAATATTGAAGCTTGAGAATGGCCTGGGCTCCATTCTTAGCATTGTAAAATAAATCACTAAATCAGGGAGGAAGATCCTGTATCATTGATACTCAAGGCATGGCAAAAGAACACATGTGAGCAAGGAGGAGATGTGGCAAACCTAATTCAGTAGTCCTCTGGAGGGAAGTAAACTTTGACAATGCAGGAAGAATGCCATGAGGCCTGGAGCAACACTTTCCCTCTCTCCATTTTCTTTTCCACTATGTAGACCCCAGAAGGCTTCTGAATAGCTGGCTTTCCTCTACTGGGAGGAAGTTGGTCCCATCCCTGGTTGCAGCACAAAGCTCCAAATTTAGGAAATTGGGGAAAGGAGTCCGCTATATTCTGTTTGGGACACCAGGTGGCGCCAAATCATAACCCATTTGGAAATGGACCTTGAGAGCCCTTGAACCATTTTCCTCCCCTCCCCTCCCCATCATGGAATTGAAAAATAAGAAGTCTTTCAGATATGGTGGATAACTCTCCTTCAGTTAAGATTCTTAAATCCTTAATCCAGAGCCACTTCCAGATGCAGATTCCTAGGATTTAAATATGGCCTTAGTCTCTGTCTTTCCTAGAGACTTATTTCTCAACTTCAGATAAAGGAAAAGGTAATTTTCCTGGAGCCTTTCTAGATACTTCCACCTGAAGAGTTGTTATTCTTCAAGGCAGTCATTTGAATAATACCAGACAGGAGGCCTAGAAGGTTCTGCTGAAATTCTGCCCCCTCCCCAGTATGTTGGTTGCTCTATAATAAGCATTCTGGGTGTGACCGTATCTAAAACTGATGTGAAGTGGCCACCAGCCTCACTGCCTCTTCCAGTGAGATGTTTGCTAGCCTTCCAATGGGCTTCATTAACTCCCATTCCTAGGATCTTTTACCTGGGATGCTTTTATTCTGTCAGTCATTTCTGTTTGTCAAACTGTCTAGTATGTTGGGGACACACATCAGACTCCAAGAAGCTATTTTCGTGTTCCCCAGTCTGAGGGATCACCCATTCTTTTGAATGACTATAACAAAGTGTGCTGTTTGCCTTCTACTTTATATTATGGCTATTTGTGAACATATCTCCCTTATAAAATTTTGAGCTCCCTGAGGCCAAGGACCTTTTCTTTTCTTTTTTCCTTTCTTTTTTTTTTTTTTTTTTTTTTTTTTTTTTTTTTTTTTTGAGACAAAGCTTCACTATGTAGTTCAGGCTGGACTTGAACCCACTTTGTAGCCCAGGCTGCCTTCAAATTCTCAGTGATTCTCTTGTCTCAGCTTCCTGAGTGTTGGGATTACTGCCAAGCACCATTTCTTGTCTTGTCTTTTTTTTTTAACTGGGGATTGAATCCAGGGTCTTTGCACTGAGCTAAATCCCCAGGCATTTTTTTTTTTAAATTTTGAAGCAGGGTCACACAACTAAGTTGCTAAATTACCCAAGATAGGCTTGAATTTGAGATCCCCCTACCTTAGCCTCTCAGAGTGCTGAGATTACAGGCATGTGCCACCATACCTGGTTGATTTATCTTTTTATACTGTATTCTGATGAGCACAGCAAGTGTCCAGTAAATCATCACAATAGTATTATATTTATATAGCATTTACAGTTTACAAAGCACATTCACATACACTTTTTTGTTTAAACCTAATAACCCTGTGAGGTAGGTGTTATCAGCGCCGTTTTATGGATAAACAAGTTAAGCAACTTGCCCAGAGACTTAGAGCTGCTAAGAGTCAGAGATGGATCTGAATGCAGATTCTTTCAATTTTCTATACCTGAGCTGTTGTCTGGACTTCCTTCTTGGAGACCTAAGCTGTGAGGGCTTGTCCTGGCCACCACAAAGCAGGGAGAAAAACTAAAGGCCAAACTCCCCTTTATCCTTGCTCCCTTCTGCTTCCTACTACTGTTTCCAAAGAGGATTTCAGAATGCAGCTGTATTTAAGAATGTCTGGTGTGAGATGTCCTTGTGGATAAGAGGGGGAAATAGGATGTGAAGACAGGACAGTAAAGTGCTTTCACAGCTGGTGACTAATGGATCTTCCGTCAGCCTGGAGGGTGGGTCTTGGCTCATCCAATAGCTTAGTTAATGACTTAATGAAAACAAAAATGAAGTGTAACTAGCTTCAGAAAGATCCCAAAATGCCATAGCCAACAAGGGAACTGAAATGTAAAATTTCAGAGGTGAGTTTGTCAAAGCCAAATGCTTAAGTACTAGATAAAAAAGATGAGACTTTCTGACAATCTGTGTGAAGAGGTCCAGGTGTTTGAGGTGACTGTGGGCTTATTCGTTTTGACACTAGCTGTTCCACATGCTAATGCATTCAGGTCTAGAATGAGGGAGATTCTAGCTCTGCCTTCTCTTCCCTTTCATTAGACCACAATGGAGGATTGCCTTCAGCCTTGAACACTATGCACCAACAAGAATGTTAGCAACCTGGAGCAAGTATAGAGACCAGGAGTGTAAGAAGAGTTTAAAATCAACTTCTGGAGCTGTTTAACATAGAGAAGGGATGCATAGGTGGTGGATCAAGATGCAGGTTTCAAATATATAGTGAGATTTATCTTGTTTTGCTTCATAAGAGGACATCATGAGGAGCAAATTGTGGATGCCATGGGAAAACTGATTTTTACTCAACCTAAGGAGGAGCTTCATAGGTTTGAGGAAATCCAGTATGCATTGAGAGGATGAGATCTTTCCATCACTGGAGATATTCAAGCAGAGTCAAGTTACCTACATAATGAAGAGGTTCAAAGAGGTTGCGCAAGGGAATCGAGTGTCAGATCATAAGGGAGGGAAGGTAGGCAACCAGTAAGGCTGCTCCTCACACTATAATTTTGAAATGCAGGTGGGGAAGAATGGAGGTGAAAATAGTTATAGCCCTCAGAGAAGATACATCTTTTTTTTTCTTTCTGAAACAGTCTTACCATGCAGTTCAGGCTGGCCTTGAACTCACTATGTACCTCAGGCTGGTCTCGAACTCTCAGTAATTCCTGTGTGTCAGCCTCCCAAGTGCTGGAATTATAGGCATATGCCACCAGGCCCAGATGAGCAGGTACATCTTAACAAGTTATTATCTCTGCTTCCAATCTCTTCTCCTCCAGCTCCTCCCTCTGCCTCTGCTCCAGAAATATTTTCTTGAGTAGTTTACCACTGAAACCTTACCACTTGAGTATCAGAATTTCAGTAATCCTGGAGGTCACCTGGTTTAGGCCTTTATCAGCCACTTTCATCACCTTTTATCACCCGCATGGAGTGGTTGTCCAGTCACTACTTGACCATCTCTGGCAATACAGCAAGGCAGTCCACTGTAATTTCAGAATGCCAGTCGTATTTTGAAAGTTCTTTCTAGATACGGTAAAATGCTTATGTTAGTATGTTGGCCTTAGGGCATTTTTGTTGTCTTTTTTTCTAAAGTGCTGGGTATTGAACCCAGGGCTTTATACATACTAGGCCACCACTCTCTCACTAAGCTATACCCCTAGCCATAGGATAATTTTCCCTCTCTGTTTTTGAAACTGTTGGTAATAGGCTTTAAAGGAATTCAAGAACCTGGAAGCAGGAGCTGAAACTTGTATTACAATTGTTTATTTAAAAAAGAAAGGAAAAAGAGCAACTTCCTTATATTGAATCTAAATCTGTTTTCCTATAACTTCCATCCATTAAGTCTCAAAGCCTTTGGAGTCACATAGAACAAATCTACAGTTTTATTTCCCCCATGGGCCTTGTAATGATTTGGCCTCAGTAGACACATCTCTCCACTCTCTCACTGTTCTCACCATTCTTCTCTGGGTATGCTTTTGTTAACATCTCCCTTGAAGTCTGGCACTCATCACTGAACAGACAGCAGCAGGTATAGTCCGACTTGTGCCGAGCAGCACAGGTAGTCGCATCCTTTATCCTGAACGATATCCTCTTATTCATATGGTCCATAGCTATGGCTAGTATGGTCCTTTTGTAGCAACTCATAACTCATGATGAGGTTTCATTTACTCTAAAACCCTGTAGGCTACTCTCTCACATCCTATATTTGTACTGTTACATTTTGAAATTCAAATAAAGGACTTTACCAGCATTGTAAAATTTGGAAATCTAATCTGGTGACATGAAAATAGAATCCTTTTGTGTGTAGTGAGCCATTTAACTAGTTAAGAGTCTGTTTAAGTTTCTCTTTACTCACCCTGCATTTTCTCCATATTGTCCCAAGAGTATTAAAAGAATGTTTTGTCCAACTCCAAATGCTATAGGTGTAACGTTCCTCTCATGTACCTGTCCATTCTACCTGTCAAAGGAAATGAGCTGAGCTGGGAGTGAATGATTTGTTTTTCCTGAATCAATGCAGAGGCTGAGCAATCTTTACTTCACTTTATAAGTGCTCACCAATCATCCTTTAATTGTTTAAGAATCTTGCCCTCAATCAATATCACATTTATTGATCTATAATTTGTGGCACTCACCTTTTGCCATCTATTAAATGGTAGGGCCATGTTTATCAATCTTTAGGCTGCAGCACACATAATTTCCCATTCTCCGTGTGGCTTTCAAAGCCACCACCAGTTGTCCTGACCACACCATGAAATAGAGTTTGTCAGAGGAGCTGAAGGCTCTCTGGGATAAGCCTGCCTTCAGGAGCATGAAAAAGTAGCTAGAGCAGAGCTGGGGAGGTTTCCTTTTCTCACCCTGAAACTGTGAGCAGGCATCGTTCATTCAATAATACCCAAAGTCTTCAGGGGTTATGAAGGTCTCTGCAGACCACCTTGCCGACGTGATTTCCCATTCTTCAGCTTAAACTCTCTCCATTGGTCCCCTTGCTGCTCCTCAAGTATGCCTGGACCTTCTGCCTCCGTGCTTTGGCAGAGGTTCTCAGTCTGATGTACTCACAACTCCACCTACACACCCACTCACAGTTGTAGCTTTCCTAGTATTTCTCTTGTTCTTTTAACCTTTATACTGAAGTTACACACTAGATTGTATGTTTCATTCATATTATCATGGTTTGTTTTTGCCTTTCTGACAATATATACCCCAAAGTGTGTGTGTTCCAGTCTACATAGTATAGCTAAACCAACAAAGGTCAGGCCTCTGGCCTGACCTGATAACCATACTTCTGTGAAGATTTCCTCAGTGACCAACCTCTAGCCTACACACACACACACACACACACACACACACACACACACACCCCACAAATTCAGATCCCAAGATAGCTATATCTGGTTCACTAAAAGACTGAAATAGAAACCAGATAAACTGAGGGATGTTGGCTCTACCTAATCTAGGCACCAATGACCATTGCAATGTGGGATAAAATCCAAGTGTAGTTCTTAGCTTCTCTTCAAATAAAGAAGTGGGCTTTTTTAGTTGAACTCAGGGCTGTAGTTAGCACTAGGGCCAAGAACCTCAAGCTACAAACACAAAATTAGATTGAAATCTTGCTTAATTTGGAAATTGCCTCTTCTACTCGGGCCTCCCAAAGGTGTGACCAACTGTACTCCACTACTAATTGGTCCCCAGAAGGCCTGTAATTTGAGCTGGGTTTGCTATGGAACCTTGAGTTTTAGGAAGGACTAAATCTCCCCCAAATAGGGAGACTCTTGATTTGGAGAGGTACATACTTACCCTAAAATGGGAGGCCTAGATTGGAAAGATCTAAAATGGTGCAACCAGATGTTGAAACTTAAAAACGAAGACTCTGAATGGACCTTAAAAGGTGGCATAATCTACCCCTCTACTTTCAGGAAAATGAAGGATACTAGCTTTCTTTAGTAGCCATTCATTCTACTTGGTGATAGTCATTGAGGACGTACTGGGTGCTTGTGCTCATCTCCTATCAATAGTAGTCATTCCCTGGGTTTCATTTAATTTCATTTCCCCTCTATCATTCTCAGAAGAAATGGAGGACATAGGTCATGAGAGAACTCAACTGTGTCCTGATTTCTGAGTCACAGTTTGAAGATGGTTATAGCATACTTGTCACATAGTAGGTGCCCCACAACCATAGAATGTTACTTCATAAGCTTCCTTCTTTCTAAATTTTATATATATATATATATGAAAACCCCAACACCTGGTCCTTTGGTATATAGCTTTTGCTTTTTTCCAGATCTTTACTTTTCCATGTGTCAAAGATGTGTGTTGCCTTAAACTAAGTCACAAACAGTGGCAGGTAGAGTGGAACATGCTGAGTAGGGCTGTGGGAAAGACCACATATTACTGGGTTGTAAGCTAGGCCTATTTCTCAACACTGCGACTGGCCTTTCTGGGCCCATTCCCCCAGCTTTACAGTAAGTAAGTTGGGCTAGATGACTCTAGGGTTACTTTGAATTCTGACACTCACATTCCGATCATTTCTCAGCTCCTTTGTACTGTATTTTTGTTATTATACACTAGTATCTACATGGTTTTAGAAAGAAGGAAAGAAAAAAGGGACAGAGGGAGGAAACTTGTTCTAAAATTGTGGACCCATTCCATTTAAGTACCCAGTTCTTTATGTATATGTTAAGTCAATTACTGCCCATTTGTCTTGTTCCATGCAGCGTATTAGTATATTAGTTCTGAGTTTTGGTCTTTGTACATTCTACCGTGTGTTCATACCCTCTGAAAGTCACCTGGCTGTACTGATTCATTTCCCTCATTTTGTCAGTTGCTTTTAAGAATTTTATCCTTGGGGGCTGGGGGTTTAGCTCAGCGGCATAAGCACCTGCCTTGCAAGCAGGCAGTCGTGAGTTTGATCCCTGGTACCGATAAAAAGGAAAAAGACAAAAAAAAAAAAAAGAATTTTATCCTTGGTTTCTGAGGGATCAGTGACCCTGCCCCACTGTCATACTTGATGAGCAGGTTCCCTGTTTAGTCCTTAAAGACACTGAGAATAATTGGAAATCCCATAATGCTAACCCTGGTAAGCCTCCTGAATCTGCTCCCCAGAGTGTCAGGGAGTCACAGATCACAGTCCTGGAGAAATATCACTCTCAGGCTTCCCTTGACCTCTCCAATTTGAATTGACCTAACAGGAAACCAGAGTACCTGGGGAAAAAGAAGGCCCTATCAGTCACCTAAGGCCAGGGACCCACGTGGCTGATGTTACCACTTTGGAAAAAGCCCTTCAGCATGATAGAGGTCACACCCCCTCACTACCCCCAGGCTAAGATGAGGGTAGGGTGGTGGTGTGGTGGAGAAAGGTGGGGGAGGAAGCAGTATCTGTGGCAGCAGAGGAAGAAGGAAGTATTATTTTTCTTTTTTCATTAGAGGCCAGAAGTGTTGAGAGGAAGCTGTAGCGGCAGGAGCTGAGCTGGCAGGGAGGGTAGGGGCATGGGGACAGCAACCTGACTGGTGAGGCCTTTCCAGGGGCCCAACAGAGTGCAGCCCAGGAAGGGAGGCACAGAGAAGGGGCCTGATTACTAGATTCCCAGCCCACAGAGGGACCCTGCTCTGAGGGCTGTTGGGGCAAGGCCTGTGCAATCGAGGCAGGTTGGGAGTGCTGACTGGATTTTTTATTTTTATATCAAGACACTGTTTAAAATTTTTACAAAGGACAAACTCCATGGGTTTCCGTTAGTGTTTTAAGAGCTTTTCTTTAAAAAAAAAAAAAAAGGCAACAACAACGACAAAACAAAAACAAAAACACCGTCTTTTTGAAAGAGAAATGACAGACACAAAAGAGACTATAAAGAAAATGGGGTGAATTTCTGATAGCATTTCCCTAAGGGTAGAGGCAGAACCCAGATTACATACCTGGGGACCCAATAATGGCATGGCCTCCATAATACCTTGTACACCAAACCTAGGGTCCCCTCCCTGGTGTAGCCAGGCTAATACTGCTGGCCTCCAGGCTTCCACAGGATGTGGAAATGGTTGGAGATCTCTTCTTGACAGCCCTTCAGCCTCACCCATCATTAGCCCCTTCCTGTCACCCCATGGTCTTGTGCGAATCCGTTTCTTTCATGGGGGTTCTATCTCTTGATCTGATTATGTGAGCACTGGAGTTTCCAGAACCAGAGAGAAATGGTCCCAGATCCCTCTCTTCCAGAGCCTCTTGCCACTCATGGGTTGGAAAAGTGTTTGTTCCAAAGAAAAATCAACAAAAACAAGACCCAGATAAAAGACTAAGTCTAGGGAGGAAGAGCTACTTTGCTCTTGAAAGCTCCCAAGTCTGGAGTTGGTCGGTGGTGTAGTTCCAAGAAAGGCCGAAGGCGAGCACCAAGGGGGTGTCCAAGTCTTGCTTTCAGGCCCCCAGGAGTGTCTGTTCAGGCTCAGAGAGCTGGCTTCAGCTGCTATTCCATGAGTCCTCAGCTTGCCAAGGACTCATCTGTGTCCCCATCTGAGGGGTTTATTCAGGTTTACCTTCCTATTTGTGTTTTTGTACATGCGGGTGCATGTCCACATCTGTCTATGCTTGTGCAGATGGGTCTGCTGCAGGGTATGGGTGACTGCGTATACATATATGTCTCTGTGTGCGTGCATGTGTATCTGTGTGTGCACGTGTGTGTGTGTGTGAGTGTGTGTGTGTGTGTGTGTGTATGTGTGTGTGTATTTGGGAGGGAGGGGCTGGGAGGTGAACTGTGCTCTGGGTTGGAGCTATACCCGGGTGGTGGAGTGTGAGTGGGGCAGCCCAGTACTGTTGAACCCTGCCGCAAAGGTGTTGTAGGGGTGCAAAGTCTGCACCAAGGAGTTGGGAATCATCGTGATGGTGTTGGGGGTCATGAGTGGGATGTCATCAGGGGAGCGGCGCAGGGTCAGGGTATAGTCGGGCAGTGCAGTGAGGCGCAGCGTGTCATGGGGTGGACCAGCCTCACACTCATGGTGAGTGGGGCCCAGTTGTAATGCTGCCAGCTCCTCCTCGGGAGCAGCTCCCAATTCAGGAGCTCCAGCTCCCCTCTGGGGGCTAGGCTGACGCAGGGGCTCCTGGCGCCGTTTGTCCTTGCGATAGTAGAGGGCAGCAAAGGCCAGAACGTTGAGGAACAAGAGGGAGGCCCCCACAGCGATGGTGACACTTAATTCAGTGGAGTAGTCACGAGGGTTCTCCACCAGGAGAGGCCCTGCATCCTGGTCCCCATTCCAGGAGCCCTGGGCATTCTCGTTGCTGTAGGCAGGGGAGATGGCTGGCCGCTTGGTGCTCCAGGTCTTGCCGTTGGGCCTGCGGGTGATGTGGGAGATGTGGGTGGTATCGGGGGGCGGCACTTTGGTGGTTGTGGATGTGTAGTGGAACATGTCATGCAGATTGTAAAGGTGGGGCACCAGGTGTTTCCAGAAGGCCACTTTAGTGGCTCGGTAATGATCGCGGACCCTTGGTTTCAGCCCAATGTGAAGGTAGAGCTGGTCTCGAGGATTGTACTTGGACCAGGCTACTTCCTCAAAGCGGTTGGCCTTCGTATGAATGAACTTGGTGTCCTGGGGAACTGGCTTGTTAGGATCCCTGAAATACCACACAGAAATTTGGGGTCACCAATCTATCTGGATAAAAGAAAGACCCTGCCATTTTCTTCACACACCTATTCCTGAGTCCAAAATTTCCCACCACTTCCATATATTTCAAGGTTCCTCCTCTCTACAGCCCACTTCTTCCCAGGGCCTGGACTCCTAGTCTCTAGACAGGCATCATGGAAACATCATTTTCCCCTGTGCTTATCCACAAAGGTCAGGCTACAGGTGCTTTGTCTTCTCCAATGCTACTGAACATCTATCAGGCTCTTTTTTCTTTTTCCTGTTTTCTTGTAGTGGGGATTGAACCCAGTACCTACACACTGAGCTACACCCCCAGTTCTTTTTATTTTTTATTTTTTTACTTTTTTTTTTATTGGTTCCGGGGATCGAACTCATGACCACCTGCTTACAAAGCAGGCGCTTATGCCGCTGAGCTAAATTCCCAGCCCCCCTCTTTTTATTTTTTATCTTGAGACAGAGTTTGTAAATTGTCCAGGCTGGTGGCCAGGGATTTAGCTCAGTGGCCTAAGTGCCTGTCTGGCAAGCACAAGGTTGTGAGTTGAAACCCCAGTACCAAAAAAAAAAGAAGAAAATAATTGTCCAGGCTGGGCAGGAACTTGTGTTCTTCCTGCCTCATTCTTGCAGTGTATTAGGATTGCATGTAGGAGTCTCCATGCCCAACTACATCTATCCATCTTTTGAGCTGCCCAGTTTTGCCAAGAGCCTTCTAGAGGCTCTTTCTGAAATGTATTTTATTGGCATTTTACTTAGCCTCTGACCAGCTAACCTTGAATTCCATGGTTCTGCCAGTAACTTGCACCCCTGCTTGATTCCAATGCTAAGGAAGTTCCTTGCTTCAACACAGTTTTTCTTTTATATTGCTGGGAATGTGACCTAGGCCTTGGGCATGTTAAGCAGGTGCTCTACCATTGAGCTACCACCTCTGCTTGCAGACTGTTCAACAACAACAACAATTTTGTGGTACTAGGAATTGAACCCAGGACATTTGCTCTGAGCTATATCTGCATCCCTTTTTTATACTTTTAAATCTTGAGACAGGGTCTTACTAAGTCACTAAGTTGTTCAAACTGGGCTAGAACTTGTGATTCTCCTACCTCAACCTCGTACAATGCTAGACTTAAAGGAGTGTGCCACCATGCCCAGCTCAACAAAATTTTTGAAGGAGTTGGCATAAAATCTCAAAAAGGGGAGGTAGAGAGTGAAGGAATTAATTAGTAATATTTGGGGAATATCATGGGAAGGAAGAAGTTAGATAGGGAAATGGAGGAGAAAACATGCAGGGGTCCCAAAGAAGAAAAGAAACTCATTTTCTCCTTACCCAGTCTTGGCAAAGTTGGTCCAATAGGTCATGACGACAGCACTGAGCATAACATCATTCTTGGAGAAGTTGCAGGGGAAAAGGTCAGTGGGACCTACCATAGGGACACCAAAAACATAGGGTACTTCATCCCCATGAGCTGCATCTGACCAAGCAGGCTTCATGAGGCTTTGGCAGTGATGGTAGAAGGCATAGAAATAAGTAGGTGAACCATAGCGGGCATGTAGATCAGCTGTCACCACTGAGGGCTCTACCCACTGGTGGTCAGTAAAGAGTGCCACTAGTGTTTTACGACGCGTCTCAGGGTTGTCACGGTCTGCCCAGTCTGTGTACATGAACTTGATGGTCTCTCTCAGGGTGTCTTTACCCTCTGGGTAGCCATACAGATTGTCCACAAAGTTAGAGACAGAATAGTCAAAATCGGTGCCAGAGACACCATCCTCAGGGTCTACCACCCCTTCCACAAACTTGAGACCCTCACCCTGGTTGACGCCTAGCATGATATCATAGTTGAGGAACTCGCCCTGTTCCATGAGAATCTCAGGGTCATCAGGAATGACATCACCATCGATCACAGGCCCAAAGGCCACATGGTAGCGGGCTGGCTGGATGTCCTGCTCTACCAGCTCTTTGGCACTCTTTTGCCGAAGACAGTCCACCATATCCACAGTATCCAGCACGTTACAGCCCACTTTGTCTGCCAGAAGGCTGGTGTACTTTACTGGTTGGTAGTTCACAGCCCAGCTGGACAGAGCAGAGCCGCTCTGGATGATGGCCCTCTGGAAAAGCCCTACAGAAAATAGATGGTATCAGGTCATGTGATACAAATCATTAAATAGTTTATTCCTTTGTCACAGAGGGTGCCGTATGGTTTGAATGGGCTAGGAAGGAGGAATGACTCTTCTGATGGGGTGACAGGTTAGGACCAGAGAAGGACTGCTGATCCCTCAAGATTAATCCTTCGCCTGGCTCCTCTGTTGCTTCCTTGTCCTGGTGCAATGGTTGGTAACTTAGGGGTTAAGGGAATGCCAGAGAGAATTTAACCTCTTGGGTCCCAGACATCAGCTTCCTTATCCACCCCTCTCTTTATCATTCCTTGTTTCCCCCTCTTGCTTCCTGCCCAGCTGGGCCCAGCTCTGTGCCAGCGCACCACCAGGGAGCTGGCGCTCATACCACAAAGGGGTCTTTTTTAATGAGAGATGAGAAATGCAGGCAGGAGAGAGCTCCACATTCTGGGAGTTTGAGGAAGGATCTCAAAGGCAAAGGCCTTGGGGTCTGAAAGCCTGGGCACGTGCCCTCTGTAGTTTCAGCAGAGACTTTCTTTTTGCTGAAGCTACTGATGTTTCACATCCAGATTTCCCCCTGGCCAAGAGGGAATCCGTCCCCCAAACTCAGAAAGAAGATGATTCTTTCCCCTCTGGGAAAAAAAGGTATCATTCTCTTTGAGGCCCTGCATTTCCAAGGAATTTTGGAAATTTGGCCTCAGGCACATGATTTCATTGCTCTAACAGAAAGGCAGTTTGCATAGGTAGAAGAGAGAGAGGAATACAGATTACTACTTAAGAGACAGCCTCATTTTTTCAGAGATTATTCTCCATGAGATGATTTCAGAAAGGCAAAGAGAAGAAATCTTGATCTTTCTTTCTTTTTCTTTTTTTCATGTGGTGCTGGAGATCAAAACCAGACACTGGTGCATGCTGGTCAAGTACTCTATCACTGACCTATGCCCTGGTCCCCCTTCTCTTTTCTTAGAGCTGCAGATTATACCTGTCTTCCCTCACCAGGGCAGTCTCTGGAAGGACAGACAGAAGTTCTAGGTCAGAGTAGGTAATTCTTCTCTCTCCTAGAGACACGCCTTCTTTAAAGACAACCTGCAAGTCCTCCTGTGAGAATATCATTAACTCATGGGATTGATTTCAATGAAAAAAGAAATGTGTCCTCTCTTGCAGATTTCCTTACTTCAGAAAAGGACATGTATTTCAGGAAGATTTTCTCTTCATAAGTTCAGCTTTGCTTCTCAGAAATAGAATGTTCTGTATAGTCTTGAGATAGAGAGAATAACCCTGGTGAAAAAGGGGCTGTTCAGAGACAGAGTAAAAATGAATCTCCCTCACGGGTGTTGCACAGCCCAGAATAGACTATAGTTCCTCAGAAGAGGCTCTCGTCACAGGCCAGGGGTTCTCACTTCGGAACTACATCCTGCTCAAGAACATTCCTCCTCTTGTATAGGCTTGTTCTTCAGAGAGAAAGGCAGACAATGAGTGTTTCTTATAACTAAAAACTAATTTCTGCCTTAGATCTCAACTCTGAAGTAACATGGCCTCATACTAGAAGCTTTTCTCTGCCCACTAAGAACCATTATTCATTCAGATAGAGGCATGTTATGCACAGTGTTCCAAACCAGTGATGGCGAACCTGTTAGAGCTTTTGATGAAAACAAACAGCCGGCTGCCACCTGTGTGCCATACGCTCACCACCACTGGTCCCAAATGGAGCTACCATGGCAGAATTATCTTGCTCTCTCAGGATGTACATGGGATTCTCTCCTTCCTTGTCTCACATTAGAAGTACTGCTTCCTCCAGAGAACTATTTTCTTTCCATGTATCCCTGGGGGATTGTGGAACTGATTCCCCTGGCTGCTTTTAGGGCATGGGATTAGGCATTGTGGAACTTGGAAGGCCAGAGAGTCAGCATTTGGCTAGACTGTATTTTGCCCCAAGAGCTACTCACCTTCAGAGTGATGTGACAGGGTGAGGAGGCTGACACAAGATGCACCAATGCCTGAGCCAAAGACAGTAATACGGCGAGGATCTCCTCCAAAGAAGGCGATATTCTCACTCACCCAGCGGAGGGCCTGGATTTGGTCAAGGAGCCCATAGTTTCCTTTGGCAGCCTGATCACCAGTGCTCAGGAAACCTAGATTCGACAAAGGGCATGAAGATAGTGAAGGCAAAGGGATGGAGGGTTTGGGTTATTGGGTTAAGTTGACAGGCAGGTCTTTGCTTTGCTTTGCTTTGCTTTGCTTTGTTTTCTTTCTTTCTTCCTTCCTTCTTTCCTTTTCTTTCTTCCTTTCTTTTTCTTTCTTTCTTTCTTTCTTTCTTTCTTTCTTTCTTTCTTTCTTTCTTTCTTTCTTTCTTTCTTAACAGGCTCTCACTTTATAGTTCAGGCCTTGAACTCACTATGTACCCAGGCAGTCTCAAACTCACAGCAATCTGCCTGCCTCAGCCTCCTTAGTTCTGGGATTATAGGGATTACAAGTGTGTGCCACTACATCCAGCAAGATAGCTACAGGGCCACACAGCTCTTCATACCTTGCTAAGATAAACCACTGCTCCTTTCTGCAAGGTCCAGCACTACCAAAATAGGAAGGGTTGGTTCCCTGCCTCCCATTCATTACCCAGTTGGGAAGGAGGGATCTCCAAATCATTACAAGTGGCTGTCTCCTCCAGGGAGGAGAGTTAAACTGCAGGAACTAAAACTGATCATTACTTAGCATCCTCTGCTCTGACATACTACTATTCAGGACATGATCCTAACATTGGTGGGGGGAGAAGGAACCTTAAAGTCAGAAAGTCCTTGGTCAGAATTCTGGCTCTCTCACATTCTAGCCTTGTGGTCTTGGGCAAGGTATTCAAAATCTATGGGTCATAGTTTCCTCTTCTACAAAGTAGGGGTAAAAATACCTTAAATCACTGTAGCAAGGATAAAATGAGCATAAGCCCAGCAGATTGTAGAGACACAGTTACTTCTCCTTCCTTCTCTCGTTGAAGTGAAGATCCCAAAAGGTGGTGATCCCCTAAGCTCTTTACCTTTCCTGTACAAATTTGTCCATCTCCACTTCGTTCCTGGGCCTTGGATAGCCCTTTTACCCTCATTCCTTGGGTGGGTCCTCATTTCCCTTCCTACAAAGCCTAATGAATCAGGAACTCTGGTGGTAGGGCCTAACAATTTATATTTTAAACAAGCTCCCCAGGTAATGCTGATCATTGCAAAAGTTGAGAAGCCAGTGGGTTAGACCATCTTTTTCAACTGGTGGAGAAATGGGGGAAGTCAGTGCCTAGTGTAACCACAGAAACAGGTCTTCCTGCCCACCCACAGGGATTTGCTGCTGAGGCAATGTGTCACCATGGAGACTACCTTCCCACCCACCTGCTGGGATTTGCTGCCTTGGAGACTTGTTGCCATGGAGACTACCTTCCCACCCACCTGCTGGCTATCCCACAGAGATGTCCTATATCTCCCCCTCCATTTTAGACTGATCCTCCTGCCTTATTTCATCTCTTCCTTGTCCTTAGCTTCTTTTGAAGACTCTATCTTCTAGCCTAGGAGACTAGGCTAGTCTTTTGGGAGGGTTCTTTACTGGTGGGTAATTGTAGTACTCCTACATATTGGAAACCGACATTTGGGCCAGTATTTGTTGACTCCACAGCTAAAGACTCATTCACAGTGCCTGGAATCAACTTGGTGCAAGGCCGTGTTGAGAAGGTGCCCAAAGCTCACAGAGAGCTTTTTGGTGGTTTGGCAGTGCATGGGAAGGGACAAAATTCAGACTTCAGAAGGCAAAAGACATCATCACTGTCTTTCTTGAATCCTTTTGTACTTAGCTTTTGCAAAAGAGCTCATCCTACCCTCTTCAAGTGTGTTATTAATTTAACTTTGATACATTAAGTGTGGAAAGTACTTAGCTATTCCTCTTAGGACCTAGTCACAATTTCTCCCTGGCTCTGGATTCCAGATGAGGAAAGGAGGAAGAATTAGAGAAAACCTGAATGAGGGTAAATCAAGAAGCCCTTGTTACTCCAGACAAAGGAACCAGTTTCTCCTTTACCTGGTCCACTTAGAAACTGAAGCTGTTCCAGTCTTAAGTATGCTGACCAAGACCCAGTTCAGCTGCCCAAGCCTTGAGATCCACTAGTAAAAATCACAACATGTGTCTCTTAGTTTTCTTCTGTTCTCTTTCTTTCCTTCATATTATTCTCTTTTCCTTTTCTCTCTCTTAGGCAATAGAAGGCTTACCTTCAATCTTTGCCCAGGCACCAGGGAAATGTGTCAAATGTCTGTTGTAATTACCAGGAAAAGCATGCAGTTGTATGTAGTATATTTTTTCAACACAGACTAATTTCCTGGGTTAGCCCTGAAAAAGCTGGGCATGGTAGTTAGCCTTTCCTTTCTATTCCCTCTGATCCCAGGAACCTCCAGAGAAGGGGTACTAAAGCACGTGGACAGTGCCATGCCAGGGAGTTCCTCTACAAGAGTTGCTTCAAGCACTACAGCAGGCTCAGGAAGATAATGGAGTGAAATGTGACCGACCAGGAGCATACAATCTGCTGGTCTGGAAGAGCAGTCACTTTCTGCTCATCCCCAGTATCTCAGCCATCCCCAGAAACTATGTGAGAATAAAAGCTGAAACATCTAACTCTGTCAACTGCCAGAATAAATCTGAACCAGTCTCCCCAGGTCCAAATTTACACTGCAGTCCATGGTCAGCTGCTTGTCAAGAGAAGATGAGGGAATCTAGCAGGTTGTATCAAAACCAGATATTTGAGTCACTCAAGGTTTGATGTTTACCTGGAGGGTACCTGAGGAAGGAGGTACAGTTAAATTAATACTCAAATCTGGAATAAAACTTGGCAAGCCCCTACATTCCCGGCCTCAGGAATATCCATGTATTACTGTTTAGGAACGGTGCACTTCTACTTCATACATTTACAGCCACCTTTAAGGTATCATGCTATTCGGATCCCTTTCTTAACACAAAAGAACTTAAGAGTCATGCCATGGTTATCTGAGGCAATGCAGAAAGACAGAGGAGCAGGGACAGAACCATGAAATTTGAAGCCCACTGGACTGTGGAGAGACTAAGAAGTGCCCTGAATTCTCCATACCTGGTATCCTAAGAGCTACCAGAGGAGATACAAACTCTGCTTTTTAAAGGAAATATATTTTTAGTTCAAACCTCAAACAGTATCTTCCTACTGTCCATAGTAATAAGGGTAAGTCATCTGTATATGTTATTTATGTGGAGTTTTTGTGTGTGTGTGGTTTTTTGAGATAGGGTCTCGCTATGCAGTTCAGGCTGGGCTTGAGCTCACTTTGTAACCCAGGCTTGTCTGAAACCTGCAAAGATCCTCTTGCCTCACCCTCCTGAGTGCTGCAATTACAGGTGTGAGCCACCACATCTGGCTCTATGTGTTTTTTTTTTTTTTTTAATTGGAGATCTGAATTCAGGGTCTCATGCTTGCTAGGTAAGTGCTCTACCACTGACCTACATCCTTAAACCATTTTTATTGTATTTTCAGATAGGGTCTCAGTAAGTTGCCCAAGATAGTCTTGATTTTGGGATCCTTTTGCCTCAGACACCTGAGTAGCTGAAATTATGGGTATGTGACACTGTGTGGGGTATTTAGGAAAGTGGAGCTGGATGGATAGGGATGAGAATAAGACACTAGAAGATTAATGAATGCTACAGAACTCAGCTAAGCAAAAATCTAGGAGATCTGGCTTGAAGTTTGAAACTGGATTTGCAGTGGCATTTAAATAGTCCAAGAAAGAACCTGGGGATATAAGAGACTTGGGTAGTCGGTCATAGGGTAACAACAGGTTTTGTTGTTGTTGTTGTTGTTGTTTTCTGTACCTGGGATCGAACTCCCGACCTTGCTCTTGCCAGGCAGGCACTTATGCCACTGAGCTAAATCCCTGACCCTAGGATAACAACATTTTGACTATGGTCATTACCACCAGCTAGAGAATACAAACTGCCCATTCTGAACTCCCTAGGATTGTTTCTTGCCCCATAAGAAACCAAACTTCCCTTTAGGTACCTGCAGGGAACCATACCTAGTACCCCAACTCGATAGTTTAGGGTGATGACGATGACATTGCCATAACTGGCGAGGACGCTGCCATCAATCATGTTGCCTGTCCCTTCCATGTAAGAGCCTCCATGGATGTAGACCATGACGGGCTTAGCACCACTGTCCCGGATGTCTGCAAGGAGAAGGGGTAAGACACAAGCTGGGTAACATGCCCTTTCTCCCCCACCCCCAGCAGCCCTGGGGGGTGGGTGTGGGCAGCATAGCTATCCCAGGTGCCAGGACACGCTGCTGCCATTGCTGAGGGCAGGACTTATGGGGTTATTTAGCCTAGAGCTCAAGCATTAGCCAGGTTGAATTTCAGTGATGTTTTCAAAGATTCAGATTTTAAATGCCTCCCAAGTGATGGTGGCCTGGCATGCCAGATAGTGCTAGGCCTACATGGGCCATGGTCAGGCTTTGGTGTTGGGGGCAGCAGCAAGAGGAACAGCTTATCTTTTAGCTGTATCAGGAGAGTCTCTGCCCTGGGCATCCAGAAGTCCTGGGACCTGACAAGGCTTTAGTGAGCAGGGGCTGGGGAGCCCTGAAACCCCCAAACTAGACCAGTTACATGGAAAAACAGCCACTGGCAGCTGCTGGCCCCCTGGTGCAGACAGAGACAAGAGGGGTGGGGATAAGAGGTGGCACAGAGAGAGAACGAAGAAGGATGAGGAAAGAGTGAATGGCTGGGAGGGGGCAGGGGGATCCTTGTTGACATGGTTTTTCAGCCACATACCCATTTACCCCATTCTCCCTGGGCAGACTTAACTGGAAACACTGGGGATACGGCAGAACTAAGGAGTGCCCTATCAGCATTAAGATGAAGATGGAGCCTCCCCAAGGCCATTCAACCAGGGCCCATCCAGTGGCTTCTCCCGGGCCCACAGCATGGTGTCAGTGCTGGGGCAGTCAAGAGAAGGCTTCAGGCCTTACCACTTCTGTCTGTAGCCTGTTGGTTTGTGAGCTGGACCAACACTCTCTGCCATACCAGCACAACCCTACCCGTGACCTCTGAGCTGTCTGACCCTTCCATTGGTGAAGGGACAGGACCAGGTTGCAGAGGTAGACTGGAATGCTCTCTGCTGCAGAACAAATGAACCTGTTACCCCAAAGAGGAAGGTTGATCCAATCACCACCCAGGGATCTTAAGACATCTATAGATAGCTGTGGTGTCCTGGCCTCAGCCTGGCATGTTAGCCACAGTCTTTCTGGTCCTGTCCTGAGTCCACTGGCAGCCCTGGGTTTTGTGATCATCTCTCTCTTTCTGGAAGAAGACTGGGAAGGTTCTATTCTCTTTTGTTGTTACTGTATTGTTCCTCAGTGTGCCATCTTGCTGGACCCCTCTCCCAGGACAGGCTTCCTATACAACACAGGGGTCTCTTCCATGAGTCACCAATATCTGCTCACCATCCAGTTTTCTTTGTGCCAATCCCCAGCCTCCCCACTTGCTCACCATTTCCCTGCTGCTCAGGAGGGGAGGTATTCGTTAGCCATATAAAATGGGGGAGGGAGAAGGGCAAGGTGAGGAAGATGCCCTCCTCATGGCTCTGCTTGTCCCCTGCTCCTGCCGGCTGTGTGCATCACCCTGGAACTTCCAGCAGCCAATGAGGCCAAAGATGGAGGCCCAGCAGCCTTGTACAGGAACAGAAACACACCAACGGACGAACAGACAGACAAACGGGGCTTCTCCCCATTGAGAAGGGGAGGGGCTCTGTGCCATGCACCAGCCGCCGCGCCCTGCAGCCCCCAAATACCTTCATCTTCATCCCCGTCATTATCCGCTAAGTCCTCGCCCTGTTTCTTAGCGCCGGATCCTGGGGACCAGACACGGGGAGACACAACAGCACAGAACAGAGAACAAAACAGAGAGAGAATTCAAAAACAGCATGACTGCACTGTGGCCCAGCAAGCCAGCTCCGGGCCTGGGCCCAGGACAGGCAGGAGGAATGGCAAGAACTGGGAATGGGTGGGCTGAGACCCAGACCTTAATCAGGATGATGGTGGTGCAGGCCTCTGCTGTGCTGGCCTCCCTGCCCCACCTCCCTGTCCCCAACAGCCCCTGTCAACCAACTCCCTTCCCAGTTAGGAAAGGGGTTGCAGCAGGTGGGCCAAGACAAAGCCAGAGACCCATTCAGGGAAGGATTCATTCTGGGTGGAAAGGGCTTCACATATGTACACAGGCATGTAGAGCTGGAGAGCGAGGGCAGGTACTGAAGATGAAGGTGACAATGCCAGCACGTGTGGATATCAGTGTGTACCAGGAACACAAGGCCTGAGCTACCAGGGTCCAGTGGACAGGCTCAAACCGGGCCTCCACTGACTCTGATTCCCACAGGAGGAAATGCAAGATGAAGCTTTTCCCCTGATTTTGCTCACTGGGGTCCCCTCCCCTGGTTAATAGCAATGGGGCTTCTGCCCAAAGGAACCAGTCTTGAGAGCAGCAAGCATTTCTCAGTGATGTATAGAGAGCCAGAGGAGGAAGGGAAGAAAGGAAACAAAAGAGAAAAGAATAAAGGGAGGAAAGAGAGGAAGTAGAAGGGAGAGAGAGGAAGAGAGAGATAGAAATAATGATAATTGGGCTGGGGATTTAGCTCAGCGGCATAAGCACCTGCCTTGTAAGCAGGCGGTCGTGAGTTCGATCCCTGGTACCGGTAAAAATGAAAAAGACAAAAAAAAAAAAAAATGATAATTAGTTCCTACCATATGCTGAATATTTAACATGTGCCAGACACTTTACTTTTGCTATACTGTTTTTGATTGTTACTGCTCAACAAAGTAGGTTCTATCCTTATTCCTATTTCATTGATGGGGAAACTGTGGTTTAGAGAGGTAAAGTGACTTGCTCAACATCACACAGCTAGGAAATGCTACAGGTGAGATTGAAATCTAGGTCTGCTTGACAGCATGGCCTATGGTCTTTCCACTGCATCGTGCCACCTTTTGGACATGAGGGAAAGGAAAATCATGAATGAGGAAAGTGGAGCTTGGAAGGGAGAAGAGAGGAGACTAGAAGAGAGAAGAGACCAGAAGAGAAAAGAGATGTTTAGGATCTGGCTGGCACTAATTCTCTTTCCTGTTCTAAAAAGACTAGAAGTGTGTCCTGGAATGACTGTGGAGAGATAGAACCTACTGCTTGCACACTGCCCATTTCAGGGAAACAGGTAATTTTGCTGGTAGCTCAGGGATGGTCCTCTTGTGTCTCTGACACCAGATACCCTCAAGTTGTAGGAAGCCAATAGCCCTGTTTCTCAGCAAGTCTGAGTGCTGGTGACTAGATTTCCTTATAGCTGTTAATCAAAACAGAACCACCTGCACACTACAAAATGGCTTTGCAATGAGGGCAGGAGCACAACCCTAGGGTAGAAACCGCCTCCAGCTTTCTGAACTTCTGGTGGCATCTATTGTCTTTAACATGTTAGCTCAGCACCTGCCAGTGCGCCCCTAGAAATCCAGTGGGACATGGACAGCCTGCAAACTGGAAGGGATCACTTATCTCCAGAGAAGTCCGTCCAGTTTGACAGGGTGGGGGACGGACAGGTCTTCCCCAGGAAATCACTTCCCATCATCCCTGACTTAGAAGATATATCCTTTCTGGCCCTCTCTGAGTGCTGCCTGGGTTGATGCACTGTCCCAATCTACTTTGCACAGTATGCCTTTGCTCCTTCAGCTTGGCCCTTGCCAAGAACCTCCTTGCTGCCATGGCCCTTGTCAGGCACCATCACCCTATGCCACTTTGCCTGACCATGCATACAAGCATTTCTGAGTATGGGTCTCCCCAGAGGGACACAATTTGTGACTGTTCCAAATGGTCAGCAGGGCCTGGATAGAGTCACTTTGAACAGTGAAATGATTGACTGAATGCCTTCCTCCAAACTGTCTGAAGCCCACTTCCTAGACAGGCCTGAAGGGCTTAAAGGGAAGCAACTGAGATGTAATGCCATGCAAGGAGCTGCTTCAGAGTCTCGATTAAGCCTTTTGTCTTTGAAAATCTTTCTCTGCCTCACACTCCTCCACATACCAACTGTACCTAGCACATGGCCTTGCCTGTAGTCCATAGTTTGACTAGTAAACTTTGGGATTCAGTATGGGGGCTTCCAGTCAGCTCTCTGATGAGTCTCAGGGCTAGACTAGACTGCCCTAGGTACTTATTGGAGCCTTGGGGAAACCATTTTTCCTAAGAAATTGTTAATAGTAATGTCATGTCTTCTCACCACACCCCATCAAATAATTCTTAGCAGTAGGTTTAAGAGACTCTCTTTCTGAATTTATTTATTTATATTTTTGAGACAGGGTCTCACTATGTAGTTCAGGCTAGCCTTGAACTCACTATGTAGCTCAGGCTGGCCTCAAACTTGTGGTAATCCTCCTGCCTCAGTCTCCTGAGTGCAGGCATTACAGGTTTCCTGAACTTATTTAAAGGCTGATGGAATGTTAAAGCCAGAATGGTCTCCTTCTACCTTCAGATGTGGAAACAAGAGGTTCTTAAAGGAAAATACTTGTGGATGGTCTCACAGTGAGCTGGCAGCAGAGCTGGAACTCAGTGAGGCTTTGTGCTTCTCAAACTTGTACTTTATGCCATACTATAATGCTTCTGCCTTCCTGGGGAAAACATCAATGGATTGCCCACTGTGTGTGAGTTCCCAAATTGGGGTGGAGGGGTAATGAAACATAGTCCTTAGAGCACTGCATCTCACTCTGTGCTCCAGCATGTGCTTTAAAAACTCTCAGGGCACATGTTCTATGTATAGATTCCTGGCTCTTCCCCCAGGATTCTTATTCAGTAACAAAAAATCCCATCCCAGGAATCCTAGTAGCCCTACTCTGAGAGACTATGTCCTAGGAAATCAAAGAGAAACAAACTCCAAGCTTGCCCAAGGATTATAGGGATCAGGTTGTGATCCACCTGTTCCTTAGGCTATTAGTGTTTCCAACTTAGCCCAACACAGCCACTTGTTGCCACTTTTTTTCTTGGACTTGCAGAGGCAGAAATGACCAGATGGGAGCTGCTTCTGTGTGCTCCAGTGGAAGAACATGCCCTGAGGGTCAAGAGACCCAGGTTTTTGTCCCAGCTCTGCCACAGACCAGCAATGGAGCCCTAAGCAGCAGCAAGTCACTCCCCTGGGCCTGTTTCTTCATCTGTAAAATTAGGATGCTGATATCTTGCCTTCCTTACTTCTCAAGATGAAGGGAGCGTTTTATGAGGTAAATATGAGAATGCTTTGCAGAAAGCCTAAAGTGATTTCAAACAGGAAGATGAACTATTCGAGGAGAATAGATTCCTCTCAGCAAAATGGCTTATTTGTGTTTTTGAGACAAGGTCTCACTGTGTAGTTCAAGGTAGTCTTGAACTCACTATGTAGCCCAGGCTGGCCTGGAACTTGCAGTGACCCTCCTTCCCCAGCCTGCCAAGTGCTGGGATTACAGGAGTGCGCCACCATGCCCAGCAAGAGGATCAAATTTAAAATTTGCCTCCTTTGGAGTCCATACTCCCCATAAATCCCAAGTTCTGCCACTAGAGTAACCTGGGACTCTCAGCAAGGCTCTGGCCAGAGGTGGTAGGAGTGTGTGTGTGTGTGTGTGTGTGTGTGTGTGTGTGTGTGTGTAAGTGTATACATGTTTAATCTAAGCTTTGAGAAGGAAGAGTTTTGAGTCTAAACTTTCAACCTAGGACAATACTAGAGGGATGATCTTGTGGCTCCATACACATGGAAGTGGACAGCCTCTCTGACTCTGTTTTGGATGCCTAGAGTTTCTCCTGAGGTGTCACCAAGAGAGCCAGTGGCTCTTACTTTGGCATATACTTTAGGGTGGCATTTGGAGCTGGAAGATTGGGGGCCATGGGGCTGCTGCTTCTGCTTTGAACCTGACTTAGGTCACCGAATGCTCCTTGAAAAGCAGGTAGGGCCCTTGGCTGAAGTGGACCTGATGCCTGCTCATTGCCCTCTGAGCCTGGGCTACTCAAAGGAAGGCTGGGTCCTCAGGGGCAAGGGCAGGTGGGCAGGCAGCCCTCCCTCTCTCTCTCTCTCCCTCCCCGCCGGCTCGCTACCTACCTCCTTTCCTACAAATTTTCTTGTTGGGCTTTCGGGCGCATTCCTTGGAAATCCGCTTTACTGTAAAATGAATAAAAAACTAAAAAATAACAAGAGGCCTCTGCCCAGGGGCATGCACCCCCCACCCCAGGCCCCAAAAGCTGAGCTGCTCTGCAGGTGGCACATGGCAGAGAGCCTGTCCCACCATCTCCTTGTTTCTGTCACTTACCTTAGTGTGACCCCCGAGGGAGGAGGCAACAGCTAGTGAAAAAGGCACCTAAGCATTGCCCACCAGGCTTGTCCCCCACACCCCCACGCATACCCAGCTCCCTCAGCCACACACACCTACCACCTTTTGAAGCAGGTGGAATGGCAACAGGGGGGCCTGGTGGAGCCAGCATCCTCCTGAGGGCAGCTGCCAGCAGTGACCCATACTCCCCCAGGGAACCCCATCCAGCACTGGACCTAGACTTGTCAAAGCTCTCAGGCCTGCCAGGCCCCTCCTGGCAACAGTGTCACTCACACATGGGAGCTCAGACAATGCTGGGAGAGGGAAGAACAGGGTGGGGGGGAGGGAGGCCTAGCAGAGTGATGGTTAGAAGCATTTTCACAGACAGACAGATGCATGCTGCAGGGCACACGACCACATGCAAGCCACAAACACAACAGGACAGGCGGGAGGCAGGAGAGGGACAGTGCCTGGCTATAGCACTCACCATCCTCTGTAGGCACATAGACATTCAGGTAGAGGCAGTCCTCATTGGGCTCCTGGATGTAAGTAGCAACGATATCCAAGTTGGCAGTGAACCAGACTGGCAGCATGACTTCGGGCACAGCTGTGTGGATGTTCTGGGGGCACACTGGGGGAAAGTGTGTTGCGTTCCGGATGCCGGACCAGGATGGGGGTGGTTCAGGGGGCAGGAAACGTTTTTCGCCGATTGGGGGAGCTGCGTAGGGTACACCTAGGTACTGGTCCACAGGCCCCAGTATCTCACTAGGCAATGGTACCCGGGCACCTCTTAGTTTCCCAAAGTGAGTATTGACTGTGGGTGCTGGGGCCTGGGTACTGGCCCTCAGCACCAAACTGAGGAACCACAGGGTGAGGCACAGGCTCCGGCCAATTGTGGGTGTGGGGCTCAGGGACATCGAGGGTGGGCCAAGCCGCAGCCACATGTTCCAGGTGGGGGGACTGGCAGGAAAGGCAGACTCCAGTGTCACAGCATCAGCCCAATAGGCAGCCCCTTCATGGTCACACTGACTTGAACCTCAAAACTGTGCTCTCAATGGGCACATACAAGTGCCCAGCCACGTAGAGAGCAGGTCGTCCAAGCACCACCACTTCAGAAAGGGGACTCAGGGCCAGACAGGCCTGTGGAAAGAGGGAGACACACGTCATCCAAGAAGTTCTTGGAGGGCCACAGAGTCCATCTTTGGGCCCCTGCTGAGCTTGGCTTATTCTCTTTCAGTAAAGAGAGTTTTCAGGATCTCACAGATGGTCCATTACTAACCAGAACCACCCTCCTTGCCTGTCTATGGTTGGAAAATCTAATTGTCATTGCAAGTTCACAATCCCCAACATTAATTCCATAGGTAATTGAGTTCAGAATCAGCTGGAGCCACAGTAGCACATACTCAGGAAGGAGGTGCTGGAAAGGGAAAAGGGGTCCCCGGGCACACTGTGTGAACACTGAGCAGTGTAACTCCTGGGATCTGGTAATCTTACACAGGACCTCCACATCAGGAAAAGGTAGGCTTGGTAACCTTATTCAGGAACACTAAAGCATCAGGAGGAAAAGCAGCAGATAGGCAGAACCTCTCCCAACCTACAGCCTTTGACTCTCAGGCAAAGGAGGGGACACAGCCATTCACTCCAGTCCCAGTGGAGTTCTGACCCTCCTGTGTGGATCGTCCTGTGCCCCTGCTTGTACTTTTCTCCTGGTCACTGCTTCCAAATGAAACCTTGGTCCTTTCTGCTGGCTCTCCCTTAATTCACAGAATGCCAGAACAGAGGGCAGCAATTAGTCTCCTAGCATGCTAGGCATTGTGTATGTTAGTTAAGTGTAAGATAAACAACAGAGTATGAGGACACACACTCAGAGACTGATAGAAATAAACTCACAAAAGACTCAAAGAGTGAGTGTGAGAAACTACACCAGGCTCACAGTCACAGACACTGAGATATTCACTCACATAGACACACATTCCAAACCCACAGAAATGCCCTCTATCCTTGCACATTATGAGACAGTGTCTTACATGGCCAGAACCTTGCAGAGTGATACATTTAGAGACACAGAGACTTACTGAAATCACACATACATACGTGCATAGGTAAATATCCAGACCCATGCAGCATAATGGTGATACACAAGTGGAGACAGAAACAGAAAGAGCAACATACATTCAGACACATAGGCCTTCTGACATAGTTATATAGGCAACACATACACACAGGCACATACAGATGCACCCACTTGGACACATGTGCCAACAGACACACACGCATGGACCCATGCTTGTGTCATGTATGCGCGTGCTCACAACACACACACACACACACACACACACACACACACACACACACACGCACACACCATGGGAGCATTTAATTTCCCCCTATTTCTCCCACCATTGGAGATTACAGGCCTGCTCCTTTAAGAAGTGGCTGAAGGGATGGGGGAGGGAGAGTGGGAACGCCCGGCAATGGGCCACCAAGGGAGGGGTTGAGAAAGGGAGAGGGAGAGGAAGAGGAAGAGGGAGAGGGAGAGGGAGAGAGAGAGGGAGAGGGAGAGGGAGAGGGAGAGGGAGAGGGAGAGAGAGAGGGAGAGGGAGAGGCGGCGCAGACAGTGACAGTATAAGACCGAAAAGGTGGAGGGAGGAGGAGGGTGGTTGGGTAAAGTGGCTATAGGGGTGGGGGCTTGGAGGAAATAGGGAAATGGGAAGCAAAGTAAGAGGGAAGATCCCAGACACAGCCCAGAATGCACTCTGGTGGAGGGGAGGAGGGGAAGGGGAAGGAAGGGGTAGGAGCAGGGAGGTGGGGCAGGAGTGGGTGGGTGTGTATTTGGGGGGGGATAGTCCGCAGCTGAGTTCACACAATCCCCCCATTCACCATCTCCATGGCAACTCAGGGGCACAGACCACTCATTCACACCACTTCCCCGCTAGCAACCCCCATTAACCCCTTTGGCGCCGCCCTACCTCACGAATTCCATTAACCCTTTAGGGATTGTCTCCCTCTCTAGTAACCCTTCAGCACCAAATGCAGAGTTCCCCTTTGAGCCAATTCCCTACAGTCCCTCCCTGTGAACACCTAGACAAATCAACCGACCCCCAAATGCCCTCTGTACCCTAAGACCCACTGTGAGTTTCCAAGGCTAAGATCTCCATCCTGGTCCAACTTGCAATTTAGGAGAAGACAAGGGGAGGCAGCAGTGCCAGGGATGAGAATGGCATCTGGAGGTACTTTTGAGGCTAGAGCAATATTGGGTGAGGGGCATTGTACAGGAACAGAGCGGAATTGAGAATTGCAGTATTGGGTGCTACACAGGTTTGGAATGGTATGGGGGGATGGAGTTGTACTGGAATGGGAAGGATAGAATAAAGGCCTCCGTTGGGTGGGGGGGCTGCAGGAGTGGGGGAGGGAGCCTGGCTAGGAGATGCTATGATGGAAGGGGAATGGGGCTGCACTGCAGGGAAGGGGGGACTGACAATGTGCAATACAGGAGTGGGACTGGGGGTCCTCAACAGGGATATTTTGGCGAGCTTGCAGGATGGGCTATGCAAAGAGGGCGGGAGGATGATAGGGAAGCAAGGTTTAGGGAAGGGGTAGAGAGTAGCGCAGGGGGCTATTGGGGGGGGGTCAGGGGTGTTGATGGAGAACATAGAGCTGAGAGGGATGGGGGGGCCACTGGATGGGGAGTGGAGGGGCCTGGGATTGGGAGAGGATGGGATAGGGGCAAGGTATGGGCAGCTAGAGGATGAGAGACCAGGGCAGGTGGCCTCACCTGTTCCCCGACCGCTGCAAGCCACTGAACCCGGCCTCGGACCACTCATATTGCCTCCAGGCCAAGGGCTCTGCACCGAATCCCGATATCAGCTCTCCGGCAGCCTGGCTGCTGTGCCCGCGCACCAAGGGGGCGCGCTGCGCGTGTCCAGACACGGGTGGGGGGGGCGCGGTCCCTGCCATTAACTCCTTTTGTGCCAGAGATGGCTCAAGTCCTCTGGCCTGGCCTCAACACCCCCTTCCCCACCTTGCTCAGGCAAGTTCTGTGCATGTCTCGCTTTCTCTGGCACACACCTCATAGCACAAACTATCAGGCAGGTGATCTTTCAGGGCAGCCAGTCTAAACTTCACCTGCAAATCTTGAGATCTTGAAACAAAGGGAGAAACTGAGGCCTGCCCCCCACCCAGTAGCATTCCTCAAAGACATGCCTCAACCATAGTCAGCCTTGCTCACCTCTCCTCAGCACAAGTACTACCCAGGCAGCAACCACCAGTGGGGCCACATAGCCCTCATCTGTCACACTCCCAAAGGTCAGGGTAGTTGCTTTCTCTCTACTGTTTCATCTGGGGTTAGATATCTGACCATTTAAACCTCTCCTCCCTCCCAGGCCCCGTGTCTTTGTCTTGCATTTCTCTATGTAGTGTACCCTATCCAGTTGGCCTAGCACAACTCCCTCTGAATGTCCCTTACCCCAGAGAAGCCTTTACTCCTCTAAAGAATGTAGCAATGGTATATTTATGTTAGAACAGAATTAGTCAAGAATAGTTTCAGTCATGTTTGCCTTTATCTTGCCAGAGTTCAATTCCTTGTACATGTAAAGTCTCGAACTCTGAAAACCCCATATGCATGAGGGCTTTGTAGGTAGACTTTGGAAAGGGATTTTATTTTTTGTAACTTGGGTATTAACTGGTACTCCTGGTTTTACTTGCACAATTGACACTTCTCAGCAACAGGATGTAATAGTGGCTTAGACATTACCCTTAAATTGCCAGATCTTTCTGTATCATCTACCCACCCATGGGGCTGCTGCAGATCCTCTTCCAGTCCTAGCTAGGCACATCAGAAGACTCCTCTGTTACAGGCAGCTGGTTCTCCTACACATCCTTGGACTTAGGGCTCAAGACACAAGGACAGGGGCCTCAGAATGGCCTAGCCATAGCTCCAAATGTGACTCTGGAGCAAGTTTTGTTTTTTTGTACTGTACAATAGGGGCAAGCAATAGTCATACGAGGTTAACAGCTCAGGTGGGTCATGTGACAAACAGTTCCAGCAGCAGGGCAGAGCAATGGGTGCTGCTTCTCACCGGGCTCTTTCCTCTCAGGAGCCACTGTACTTCCTCCACCTACTTTGTGATGGCACAGACCAATGAGGGCAATTTCTCCTCAGAAATGGGACTTAGGGAAATCCTTCAGCTTATGCAAAGGCTGCTACTGGTACATGATGGGACCACATGAGATGGGCAAAAGGGTAACCAGCAACTATAACCTCCACCCTACCCACAGTGTTCAAAGCCCAGCAGCTGGGATGTTATTAAAGGAAAATTGGGTTCCCTTGGTTTTTCTCCTGGTCTAATGGTCCTGCCCAATCCCAGTGGTATGTCTCCCACGGAGGAAAAATGTAAAGGATGGGGCAACAGTTAGACGATGAGGTGAGCTGTCCTTACGGGACAGAGGGCCTGTACCTCAAACATGTTTCTTTGGACCTGGAGGAGAGGGCAATAATTCAAGTAGAATTCAGAAAGACAGGGAGTGGAAAGTAAATAGGAGAGATGATCTGAACCACATGAAGGCTCTGACTTATTGGCCAGCCCTCAGTACTATCCCAAGAGACCAGCCTTTCCCGACACACAGAATTCACACACTCCCTTTGCAAATAAGCTCTGTGTATTGGGTGCAACAGTTCTGGGGTCTCTATATAAATAATATACAAAAACCCAACAGCTCAATGCTTCACATTAACAAAAATACTAAAAACTTATTAAAAACGGAGCCTGAGGGAAGGGCCCCAACCATTACTGGTGCTAGCTTGGAAAGAGGAATGGGTATTAAGAGGAAAGAGTGGGGCCACATTCAGTGCACAAGCAGTTCCTCCAGGTGGTTCAGAAGCGTCCAAATATGTTGGTACTGGGCTGTGGCTGGGTATCTGTGGAAAACCAGAAATTGTCAGGGTTGGAGATCAAGCAAGCCTATAGATTATGCATGATAAAAGCTATCAGATGCAGGGGGAAGGAAGGGGAGGGGAGGAGAGGGAAGGGATCCCTCATAACCTGGGCCTGAAGTGGTCACCTCAGCTACTTTTGCCCACCCCATCCCTCATTTATTCTGGGGCTCCCTTATGAAAGTAGGCAGGCTTACTGGAGAGCTGTTGTTGGAGTTGCCGGACCAAAGCTGCTGTCTGTTGCTGCTGCTGGGTCTGCTGAAGGCCCTGGCGCTGAAACTGAGGTGGAAACAGGAAGCAGAAGATCAGACTCTTAACATCTGCCTCCTTCATCCTTATCTTTCACTCCTCTGTAGAGTGCCATGCCTTACTTCACACTGCTACCCCATTGCATACTGTACCCAAACAAGTTTGCTGGCTGCATGCTCAACCTAGGCAGCTGTCCCTAAGCCTAGGGCTGATGTTGAACAGCTACCTGAGGCTGGGACTGGGGCTGGGGTTGGGGAGGAGCTGACTGTTGCTGTTGCTGCTGGTGTTGCTGTTGTTGCTGCTGCTGCTGCTGCTGTTGCTGCTGCTGCTGCTATGAAGACATAAAATACTTTTGAGGAAAGCAAAGGCACAGGACTCAGTACTGGAGGAATGGGGGCAGGAAGGGGAGTCAAAGTCAAGATGCAAGGAGGGAACTCTGGGTCCCAATCTTCCCTTCTCAGACCACTGCTAGGAGGCCAAATCTAGACTACTTGGAGAGAGTGTCCAACTCTCTCCCATTTTGATCCCTGGCAACACAAAAAGGAGGAAGAGGAGGGCAATGATTTAAGCAACTTTAGGCAGCCACTCAGTTGGGTGCTTAGCACAGTGTAGCCTCATTTAATGCTAGCGACAGTGTGGCATGAACCTGGGCCTCTCTTCCTCTTTGGGCTCCCAAGTCTTAGGATGGAATCCTGGGTTCTTACCCGTAGGATCTGCTGCTGCTGCTGACGCATGTGGTACTGCTGCTGCTGCTGCTGCTGCTGCTGTTGCTGCTGTTGCTGCTGTTGCTGTTGCTGCTGCTGCTGCTGCTGCTGTTGCTGCTGCTGCTGCTGCTGCTGCTGTTGCTGCTGCTCAGGCAGAATGGAAGTTGAGCGGACACCTGCCTGGACGCCCTGGGTGCTCAGCGGAGTCATGGCACCCATTATGGGTGTCTGCTGCAGTGTCTGGTGTGAAAATCTCCAGAGACAAGAGATCCAGGGGTCAAGGCACAGGGCAGGGAGAGTGAGACAGTAGAAAGCAAACTTCTAATAAGTCACTGCATTAATTTTCCCTTGGTATTAATCAGAAGAGCCCTTTTCAGTCTGACAGACTTCTAGGTTGGGGAGTAAGGGGCAAAAATGATACTTTCTTTTAGTGTCTCATATCCTTAATGGTTAAGAATTTTTTAGTTCTGTTTTAGCTATTTCTCAACAGTCTCAGCACATGATATATTATTATGCCCTCTGTACTCGTATCCCTGGGGCGGTCTGTGGCCAGTCAGTTTCCCTGTTGTGTCTTCCATCTTCACTCACCTTCCCCTATGCATTCTATCTACTCATTCCACACTAATCTCACAACCTACCCAACTCCTATCACTGTGCTAATTGAAAGACCCCCCTTCTGGGATTGTATCTCAGTGATAAAGCTCAACATTCAGGGCCATCTATCAATCCTCCCCCTCTAAGCCTAGCCCCCACTACCTCCCCAGCATGAATTCTACTCTCCTTTCCATCTCCCAGACACTACCCATGTCTCTGACCATACTATCTCCCCTACTTGGAATGCCTTTCTTTCTCCTTTTTCACAAATTCCAATCATAGCTAGTCTTCAAAGAGCAACTCAGGTCTGACCACCTTCATGCCTCTCCAATGACTCAAGTCCATACTGATTGTATCCCACTTTTTCTGAATTCCCATTTTACTTCACAGCACCCAACTGCAAGACCTGATTATATCTTTGCTCATAATATTCTCAAGGGTAATACTTTCCTCCTCAACTAGAGTAAAAATTCCTTGTGGTGTGGTCAGTCTCTCTGTCTCTGTCTTTATATCTACAAAATCTATTGCTTTGTTTCACTTCATGTAGTCATACCTAGTATAGTGTTTGCCACAGAGTGGACAGTTAATCAGCACCCCCCAGCAGAGTTCTAAGTTATAAGATATGGAGCCTGAAGACATAGTTACTAGGTCTTAACTAGGCTTGTCTAACATTAGTCACGGTATTCACTTGTTAGTCCATCCTGGAGTTCAACTGCTGAATAAAGCTTATCATGTCAGTCTTTTCTTATAAATCCCAGATCTTTTATCAGAATTGAACAAATGATCCCTCCTCTTGGGGCCTCAAAGAAATACTGGGGAAGCAAATGTGAGACTGTTAGTCTCCAAGGTCCTTTCCAGCTCCAGCCTCTTGTTATGGGCTACTTGGCCAGGTAAGTGTTCCCAGTATCTCTATAGAGTTCAGCCTAGCCCCATCACCTTCAGGTATGAGTTTTCCATATCAAATGCCCCCTTATACCTCAGTGTTCCTGCCCAACTCTCAACTTTTGAGTACCTCTGAGTGGAGGTCAGTCCATGTCCATAGGTTGGTGCCTGTTGGTGCACATAGCCACTGGGCCGCTGTTGCAGGTGGCGGGTAGGATCTACAAGAGTAGGATTGGTAGAAGGGTGGGTGCTCTGATAAGGCTGGCTGGAGTAGCTGGGGGGCACCATGGTACCTGCAGGGCCTGTGTGTTGCTGCAGTCCCACATGAGAAACATAAGGAGTATAGCCCTGGAGAGATGGAAGAGAAGAGTCAGGGCTAGGAGTGTGCACAGCAGCTTGCCTTTCTCGCCCCAATGCTCAGAACCCCAGGCCCTTACCTGGGAGGTCTGCAGGCCATAGGAAGAACTGGGAGTCATCTGATGGACAGATGACTGTCCCAATATCCCCTGGCTCTGCTAAGGGACAAAGGAGAGAAGCTCAAACTTAGGAAATGCTTTCTGCTAGGTCATTT